CTCCTGGGTTCAGGCAATTCTCCTGCCTCAGCCTCCTGAGTAGCTGGGATTACAGGCACGCGCCACCATGCCCAGCTAATTTTTTGTATTTTTAGTAGAGACGGGGTTTCACCATGTTGACCAGGATGGTCTCGATCTCTTGACCTCGTGATCCACCCGCCTTGGCCTCCCAAAGTGCTGGGATTACAGGCGTGAGCCACCGAGCCCGGCCCTATAGGTATTTTTAATTCACATCGTACATTACATTCTGGAATGTACAAAGAACGAACGCAAATCAATAAGAAAACAAATTAGCTTCAGACATTGAAGAATCTTCCCCCAACCCATTGTCTATTATTTTTGTCTATGGTAACTTTCATTGAGCAAAAATCCTTGGTTTTTATGTAATCAAATTCATATTTTTTTAAAAAATTAAGAGTTTGGTCTTTTTGAGTCTTAAGAAATTTTTCTTCATTCGAAGTCATAAAGTTCTTCCACATAAATTATACAATCACTTTGTCAGGTTTCTAAAAAACCAAAGCAAATGTTTTTTAAAAAACTTTTGATCTCTTGCTTATGTGGTGGCTCAACAAACAAGATGATCAAATTTGCATGTGTGGGGCTGGGTCATTTTATGGTAAATAGTGAACTGTCTTAAAGCCTGGAAGCAAAGTTTATTATTTCTGCATTGAAATGTGAATACAGTAAGGGCCCCATGGAAAAGTACTAAGACTTTTTATGAAAATGAGAGGAGGAATGGATGCACCCTCAGTGGTTAGGTTTACTAAACGTGTGCACTCGCTCAGTGGAGGAGATAGGAAGAAGGACATGTAATTAATATGATATCGATTTGATTGATACTGATTAATCATTTTGCTGATGCCAAAGGACATCCTTCACTGTCTGTGGAAAAGATTGTATTTTTTCCCTAGAAAGTTTGAATACCTTTTAAGTATGAAATTTCACATGCATGTCATATTTCCCTACTGCCACACTCATGCTTATACCAGGTTTATGATTCAGTTGCCCATTTAAGCTCACATGATGTCATTTCAGGGAGAATTGCAGCTACATCCTTTTGAGAAGAAAGGAATTCAGTTGGGCATGTGGGTTAGAGTCTTTAGTTCTCCCTCTTCTCATTCCTCATGTGAAATTATCTACATTTAACAGTTTTCACGGAGATTTCCAAAACTGCAAATATGCCATTTCTGCTCCGGCATGAACAACTGAGAGCTTTAGGCTTTACATAATTTTTCACAGCCCACTGGACTTCATAATTAATATATAGAATACAGTGTTAAGAACTTCAGTCCTACCTCTGCAATAATACCAACATAATAAGGGTAGCTAATATTTATCAGTTATTTACTATATATCAGACACCAGTGTCTCATTTCATGACTTGTGTGACCTAAGAGGTCCAGTTCTTAACACGTAGTCTCATTTTAGTATCACAGTTCCGACAATGAAGAAAGGGCTGATGTTTCCTCATCTTGCTGAAGCATGGAGTGGACTTGCCTAAAATCCCATAGCTATTAAGGCAAGCTGGGGCTAAAACCCAGATTTCTTGGGTTTTCACACCCTGCTACTATTAGCTTAATCCTATCAAATTCTGAGTGCTTATTGTCTGATAGGACAGTCACGTCATGGAGTGCCTAAATTAAGGCTACATCTGAATTTACCATGACTACTATAGCTTGAAATGCCCCCCACTGCCTGATACCTACCAGTCTTTCTTTTTTTTTTTTTTTTTTTTTTTTTTTTTTTCCACATTTCCCAAGAAGTGATTTTCTTTGGTTCTTGATTTACTTCTGGTCAGATCATTGGAACTTAACTTTGTTCCTTTATCAGGAAGTTTTTTATCTCATGTACAAGTTCAGTAAACACAATTGGCCAGTGAGCTGGCTTTGGAAAGAAATAGTACACCCTGAAAGAAACATAGTGCCCTTTGGAAAAGAGACTAGATATTGGATATTGCAGATTTTTCTTTTGGGTTACTGGAGCAACTTTCCTGAAGCCCACTTGGAGTAAGTCACTCAAAATAGTTCTGTGGCCACCATTTAGCCCCAGTTCCTATGTTGTGTACTTGAGACCGGATCGTAAGACAAGGCAGGGTTGTAAGTGTGTACCCAAAGCCAGCTTACAAATACTCTTTACATATACTGGTTTGGGTTTTAAATTATATTTGCCTCTTCTTTCTTATCTTCCCTCACTTTTTTTTTTTTCATTTAAATTAAGCAAATATTTGCCAAGTACTGACCTTGGTGTTGCCAGGCATGAGCTCCAAGGAGCTCAAATAGCTTAGAACCAGCCCCATTTGACTTGAGTTTTTCTCACCTCTTAGGGAGCACAGAAGAAATGGGTTGGTGTCATTATGGTTTATTTTGAGTACTGTGTATTCACTCTGATATGCTGTAGGGAGTTGTTGAAGGTGTTTGAGCAGGGGAAGCAACTGGTTTAAATTTGTTCTATAGGAAGATTAAGCTGGTAGTGGTGCATCAGATGGATTGGAGCACAGGGTGACTGGGTATGGTAGTGATCCCTTGCCTTTGTAGGACACTTGATAGTTTACAAGGCACTTCCATAGATGTATGATCTCATTTGCATGGATGCAAACTAGAGCTCAGAGAGGATTGGTGATACCTGGCGTGTTTAGTAAGGGCTTAAAGAAAGGGGTTGTCGTGGGGAGGAAGGTGGGACCAGTGTGTGTGGCATTTTAGAGGCCAAATCTATAAGGCTTGGGATCCGAGTAGATGTTGGTTATCAGGGAGAATAAGGAGTCAGATAATATTGATATTTTATGGTTAGACTTCTGGGAAGAGTGTGGCCAGTTATTTACAGAAATAGGGAGTTGAGAATATATGCAAGTTTGGTTTTGAGTATTAGACTGAAGGGCAGAGGGGTAGTTGAGGTAGCAATATCCACTGAACTGTTTAAAAGCTGGGTGTAAGAGTGGGGTCAAGTGTTTTTGATATTTAGAAGGCCATTGGTGACTTTAGAAAGTAATTTCAGGAGAGTGGTGGAGGCAGAAGCCACATCAGAAAAATAAGAAATCGATGGTTGCTGAGGCAGAACTACGGGAGTGGGAAGGGGTGGATGGGGGCACAGTGGGAGGTGTTGGTGATCACGTGCTCTTCCTTAGGTGCAGAAAGGAGGGAAACAGAGGGAGCCAGACTGCAAGAGGATTTTGAGGTGGAGAGGGTGTGAGTTTGAGGAGCCTCCAACAGAAGACTTCTTTGTGCAGGATTAAGTGAAATCAGTTGTACAGTGAGGAGGAAAAGGATTTGGTGCTTAAAAAAAAGGCAGAAGTTGGGACAGCACATGTTGGAAGTATTGAGGGAGGTCAAGAAAAGGTGAACCAGAGAAAAGGCTGAACGTTACAAATTTTCAGTGACTCTAGTCAGCATGGTTTTGTGGCTTTCCAGTAGGTTAGAGAAACCAGAAAGCAGAATTAGAAGGAGTAAGCATTGGGCCCTTTTCTGGGTTGGGAATTAGAAGTCAAGGAGCATGGCGAGAGTTGAGAAGTTCAAGGGCGTTAGCCTGTTATTATTTCATAGTTGGGCAGAGGTGAGGAAAACTGCTTGCAGGCCATTATTACTTCTGACAATAATCGAGGGAGAAGGTCAAAGCTAATATTTGAAAGGATAGTTTGGAATTATTGATGATTTGCAATTATCTATGCTAAATCATTTTATTTAGGGAGTATCTGCACAGAATTAACAAGGAAAGAGAGCCCTGAGTATTTTCTTTTGCTGTCGAAAGTCTTGTATCACTGGCCCACTATTGCCTGTTTTTCTCATCTGTAAAACAGGTGTAGTTATAGCCTACCTTCACCTGGTTTTGTGTTCACCAGAGATTTGGTGCTGTGTACAATCTACGACTTTGTTACGACTTAATGACCTTTCTGGGCAACATTTTCCTAATGCTATAGAGTTATGAGTTCATCTTTTGTGAACCCTGTTCACTCCCTATTGCAGATTATTGTAAATTTCTCTAAAGCTTCTCCCTCACACATCTTTGTCACCTTTCATTCTTTGAAGTCAAACTTTCACTTTCTTTAAAGCAGGTCTGAAGAAAACCCTGTGGAAGGAGATTGATGCCATTCTGCAGAAGAGGATTATGGTGCTGGATGGAGGCATGGGGACCATGATCCAGCGGCACAAGCTAAATGAAGAGGACTTCCGAGGTCCAGAATTTCAAGATCATGCCAGGCCGCTGAAAGGCAACAATGACATTTTAAGTATAACTCAGCCCGATGTCATTTACCAAATCCATAAGGTAAAGTACTCCCAGGTCCCTGTGTGTTTTCATTCTGTTATTCTGCAAGCTGTTTCATGTACCAGGGCAGACTGCTATGCTGGGTACTCTGGAGAGTAAAGAAGAAAGAGGCAGCTTATTCAGAAAGCAGGCTTTGGACATCAAATAAGAGTCATGTATTATGTTGGGGACTCAGGATAAGGGGATGAGGTAGGTAGATTTTCTGCACTTGAGGCATGTAAACTCTATTGAAAAACTATGAGATGCTGGACAAATAAGGGTTTTCACACTAGTGAGCGTGTGAAAAGTATCTTATTGAAGTCACTGCAATAGCCCTGATGAAGAAATGCTTAAAGGTGGTGTCTTAGCTTTGGCTGGTATATAACTTGTTACCACAGACGGGGTTACACAAGCACACATTTATTTCTCACAGTTCTGGAACCTGGAAGTCCACAGTCAAGGTGCCAGCAGATCTTGTGTCTGGTGAGGGCCCTCTTGTTTATGGATAGCTGTCTTCTGTTTGTATCTTTACATGACGGAGAGCAGAGAGAGGACAAAAAACTCTCATGTTTCTTCTTTTAAGGATACTGCTGTGGTCCAAATGTTTATGACCCCCCTGAGATTCATATGTAAAGTCCCAGTTCCCAATGTGATGGTTTTAGGAGGTGGCCTTGTAAAAGAGGCCCAAGGGCACTTATTCACCCCTTCTGCCATGAAGACACAGTGAGAAGATGCTGTCTGTGATCTAGAAAGCTGGTGCTCACCCATTATAAAATTCTCGGATACAACTACCGTTCATGTGTTTCATATTTTAGTCTAATTTTCTATACTTGGATTTAAAAAAATTAAATTGAGATTACATTGCTTCATACTGTCTTATAATTTGCATTTTTTTTTTTTTTTTGAGATGGAGTCTCGCACTGTCGCCCAGGCTATAGTGCAGTGGCGCGATCTCGGCTGACTGCATTCTCTGCCTCCTGGGTTCAAGTGGTTTTCCTGCCTCAGCCTCCCGAGTAACTGGGACTACAGGCGTGCGCCCCCACTCCCAGCTAATTTTTTGCATTTTTAGTAGAGATGGGGTTTCACCATGTTGGCCAGGATGGTTTCGATGTCCTGACCTCATGATCCGCCCGCCTCAGCCTCCCAGAGTGCTGGGAATTACAGGCGTGACGTGAGCCACCACGCCCGGCCTGCATTTTTTTACTTATCTACCATGAGTATTAAATATTTTGAAACATGGTTTTAATAACTTCATAATCTATTCTATGTACATATCATCAGTTAACTAATCTCCTTATTCCTAGGTTTAAGTTTATTTTCAATTTTTCTTGCTCTTTAAAAAAAAAAATTAGTTCTTGTAAAATAAATCTCATAGATAAGAATAAATTCTCATTTGACCATACTCTAAATTGCTATTTTTTCCTCAAAGATAACCACTGATATTAGTTGGTGTGTATTGTACCAGATCCTTTTGTTATGCATTTTCATATATGCATATTTGAAGGAATACATATATATATACACACATATATATATGTAGAAAACTCATAGTGCTCTCTGTATGCTTTTTTAAATTTAATGGTGTCTTGCTTTACATATCATTCTATTTAATTTTTCTACTCAATAATACTTCGCAGAATCTTTCCATGTCAGTATATGTAGATATACACAGTGGTTTTTTTTTTTAGCTGTCACATAGCACCTGATAAAGTGGATATATTATAGTTTATTTAGCTATTTCCCTATTGGTAGATATTTAGGATGTTTGTTACTGTTACTATAAATGTGCATGTCTTGGTTTTCATCCCCCAGTGCTTCTTCAGGCATTGTTCCTCGGCTTCAGAGAGGGTTGGGTTTATTCAGTACTGGAAAGTCAGGGGGGTCAGGAGATTCAGGGTGCCAGTCAGATTGAGGTTGAGACAATCCAAAGAGTGAAGCTAGGAAGAGATTTGAAGACAGAGCACAAAGGAGTATCAAGATCTTCAAGGTTTCATTAAGGATGTGACGCTGGTTCAGAGGGACTGGGAGATATAGACTGAAAAAATTGTGGTCAGATCTTGAGATCTCTGAGTTGGTACACTTCTCGGTGGGGATCAGGTTGTGCCAAAGCAGGAAGAAGATAAGGGAACAGAAGGAACAGAACTACCATTTGTTGAGTGCCCACTATGTGCCAGACATTTGATGCATTATCTTTTTTGTTGTTTTTTTGAGACAGGGTCTTACTCTGTCACCCAGGCTGGAATGCAGTGGTGCTACTGTGGCTTACTTTAGCCCACTATGGCTCACTCGAACCTCTAGGCTCAAGCAGTCCTTCTGCCTTAGCCTTCCGAGTAGCCAGGACTACGGGCATGTGCCGCCATGCCTGGCTAATTTTTTGTATTGTTTTGGTTACAGACAGGGTCTTTCTATGTTGCACAGGCTGGTTTTGAACTCCTGGCCTCAAGCAGTCCTCTCAATTTGGCCTCCCAGAGTGTTATGATTACAGGCATGAGCCACCATGCCTGGCTGATGTGTTACCTTATATTAGCAAATAGCCACCCTGTGAATTAGGGTTATAATATTTTTGAATGAGGAGGCTGAGACTCGGAGTTTAAGAGACTTGCTTAAATTCTTATAACAGCCTGCTAAGATTGTCTGAATTCAAGTTCTCTTGTTTATTTTTTCATGCCACATGCTTTTCTGTGAAATCCTTAAACCTTTTTGCGTCTCTACCTTCTAGTGCAGTACCTTACTCTTAGTAAGTAGTCAAAAGATAGTTGGTGATAATCGTGGTGATGAAAGGGCATGTTTATTCTGGAGGGACAAGATACTCTAAAACTCATAATTGACATTATAATCTCTTGTTGCAGGAATACTTGCTGGCTGGCGCAGATATTATTGAAACAAATACTTTTAGCAGCACTAGTATTGCCCAAGCTGACTATGGCCTTGAACACTTGGTAAGAATTCCGTTGTTCCACGTTTCTTAGATGCTTGTGAGCTTTTGCTACATCAGAAGTTGCTAGTGAGAAAGTGCCAGAAGCTGCAGAGTCAAGCTCATGCTTAGTTGTATGTTGTTGGTGATGAGACAGGGAGAATGGTGTGAATCCCTTCTGCTTATGAACATAGTGGCCCTTCATTTTCCAACTGGCTTCTTTAACGGGCAAGTCATAATCAAATAGAAATGATACTTACTATGCAGTAGCTGTTGATAAAGGCATAATCATTGGCCGTATGCATACAGTATTGTGAGGCCTTTTTAAGTATTAGCTGGCAGCCTTTGCTTCTTTCCTTTTTAAAAAATTGTGATAAAATACACATAACATAAAATTTAATGTAATTATTTTTAAGTGTACACTTCAGTGGCATTAAGTACATTCACATGTTGTGCTATCATCACCACTGTCCTTTTCCAGAACCTTTTCATTTTCCCAAACTGAAACTCTGTGTCCATTAAACAATACCTCCCCATTCTGTACCCCCAACTCCAGCCGCTGCACACTATTCTACTTTCTGTCTCTATGGATTTGACTATTCTAGGTACCTTAGATATGTTGACTCATATAGTGTTTGGCCTTTTGTGACTAGTTTATTTCACTAATGTAATGTCCTCAAGGTTCATCCATGTCATTGTGTGTGTCAGGATTTCCTTCCTTTTTAAGGTTGAATAATATACCATTGTATATGTATACCACGTTTTGCTTATTCATCTCTTGATCATTTGGTTCACCTCTACCTTTCTGCTGTTGTGAATATGCAGTGTTGCTATGTACATGTGTATACAAACATCTATTCAAGTCCCTGCATTCAATTTTTTTGTATATATACACAGAAATCGAGTTGTTAGATGATACGATAATTCTGTTTAACTTTTTGAGAAACTGCTATACTGTTTTTCAAAGTGGCTGTACGTTTTTTTTTTTTTTTTTTTTTTTTTTTTTTTTTTTCTTTTTTTTTTTTTTTTTTTTTTTTTTGAGGCAGAGTCTCACTCTGTCACCCAGGCTGGGGTGCAGTGGCACGATCTCGGCTCACTGCAACCTCTGCCTCCCAGGTTCAAGCAAGTCTCCTGCTTCAGCCCTCTGAGTACCTGGGACTACAGGTGTGCTCTACCATGCCCTACTAATTTTTGTAGTTTTTGTAGAGACAAGTGGTTTTGCCATGTTGCCCACGCTGGTCTCGAATTCCTGAGCTCAGGTAATCTGTCTGCCTCAGCCTTCCAAAGTGCTGGGATCATTGGTGTGAGCCACGAGCGCGGCCAGCTGTACCATTTTACATTCCCACCAACAGTGAACTAGAGTGTCAATATTACCATTTATTTTCTATTTTTTTTTTTTTTGATGGTAGTCATCCTAATGATTACTACTGGCAGATTTGTTTTCCTTTTAATTGACATGATGCTTCCATATTTAAATTTTATAAAACCTTAATTATAGAAATCTATGGTAGATGTTAATGTCCCGATTTTTGTGTGGGATATTTCCAGACACATTATTCTGTTTTCATGTAAGCAGTGTCTTACAGTTACTTTTGTGTCGTTTTGGAGCAGAAGTTGGCCGACGTTTTTAAATAAAGGGCCAGATAGTACGTATTTTGGCTTTGTTAGCTATATACAGTCTTTTGCAACTACTCAACTCCATCATGTAGTGTGGAAGCAGCTATAGACATTATGGAAATAAATGGGTATACTTTATCTCAGTAAAACTTCACTTACAAAAATAGGCAGTGGACTCGATTTGCCCTATGAGCCACAGTTTGCCAACATCTATTTAGGATATTCTGGGTGTTAAATTACTGGATGTGAGTATTCAAGACACATAGGACCTTAAGAATTCAAAGGAACCTGAAGATCACAAGTCTAAGTTCTCCTGACTTGGTCTGTGGAAGAGCTTCTGGAGGACCTTGAACCTCCTTAAATCATAGGGAACACTGTGTGTATATGTGCATATTTGCTTTTTATTTCCTAACGAGAGTGTTCATAGTCCTTTATCAAATTCTCAGGTGGTTAATTATATGCAAAAAGTTCAGAATTACTGATTCCAACTGTTGTACATGAATCAAGGCCTGGGAAAGTTACTGTGGGAACTGCCTGGTCAGGCAGTGATGGACTAGTCTTTGAATCCACATGTTTTGCCTCCCCCATGCTTTTTCCATTTGCTATATTTTTTTCTTAATTCTCAGAATATTTAACCACACAGGTTATTCTCTGACATGCTAGCTGTCTAGGGATTGTCCTTTTTTTTACCAGCTAGCTCATGATTTGGGAGGAGAACCTAAAAGCATTCCCCAAGGACTCTTGTCTTATCCTTGCTGCCTTTCAAGCCTGGAGCTGATATGCCTTCTTGGCTAGGATTTCACTCAGACCTCAGATTAATTCACTGTACATTTCCTTACTGAAGAAAACTGAGTATTTGATGGTCATGAATCCACTACTTATCATGTGGAGGAAAAGAAGGACAAGCTAACTTTTGTGGTTGATATGTATTAGGCCTACCGGATGAACAAGTGCTCTGCAGGAGTGGCCAGAAAAGCTGCCGAGGAGATAACTCTCCAGACAGGTAAGGAATGTTCTTCTCTTTTTTTGCACACGTGGTTCCTTTGATACTCTCAGCTATAATGTGGTGTCTTTATTGCAGTTTTTCCTTATGTGGCCTTTGGCTTAGGAGCAACACTGGAAACGCTGTATTTTACATGTTTGTAGATTACTTCTCTGCAGTTTCATAATCAAACACTCAACACCTTTGAATTGATGCCAGCCCTGTGGTCCTTGGGCTCAGAATTTGCTCTTTTACCCTGGTTTAGCCTGACTTTATAGCTAGGCCCCTGACTTTCTCGTGTAATTAGTGCTGAAATAATTCATCAGGTGATTACAGTAACAGCTGGCCGTTTTGATTATCTTGGCTATTATTAGGATAGTTGATCTCATTTTTTAAAGGTACTGTCATTTCCGTGATTAGCTGATGCAGGTAGAGATACTGCCTTTCCAGCATTCCCGCTTTACTATTGATGTCCTTGAAGGCTCTGTGAAGCACACAAAAGAGTGTGGCATTAGAATCAGTCGTGCTGGGACTTGAGAAGTGGCTCCTGAAATAACTAGCCTCTTGGCTGGATGCCATCAGAATGCTTGGACACCAGCTGGTAGGAGGCTTTGAGGGAAGGAAAAGAATATGAGAAATAAATGGAGCACCTTAAGATTTGGAAACGTGAAGTTGTTGCCAACAGGAAAGCAAAATTGCTGTGAAGTTATACATAGCATACTAATGAAGACCAATGCAGTTTATAGGAACTCTGTTTCTAAGAGGTAATGTTTAAATTCATGGCAGTGCATAGACTATTACTCCAACAGAGTCACAGGTCAGAGGATACTGAACCAGCTAAAGCAGGGAGAGATAAGGACATTTTTCTTATGCCCACATTATTGCCTAGCTTTGGGGATGAGAAAGAATATTTGGGCCTGTAACCTGTTCAGAAGCTGGTTTATCAATTAGCTGATAGTCTTCTCCAGTTAAATATAGCATAGCTCAGGTTATTGAGTCGCCAAAGTCATCAAGGTAATGAGCAGTACGACCTCTGGCTTCTGTGTGAATGAACACAACTTCCCACGCCATTTTAGAAGCACCTAGATTCCAGGCTAGAGGAAAATTTATTAAAGAAAGATTTGCTCTACTTCATACTTCCAATTTCAGACTTTATAATTGTTAATCCTGATTTAGTATCTCCTGCTGGTGAAGAGCCTGCAATATGGTACTGGAGAGCATTTCAAGTTAAATGCTACCGTGAGGTGATTTTGCAGAACTTATGTTAAGTTCAAAACCTTCAAGGTCTCATAAAAATAGGAAGAGAGGGAATTTGTCCAAACACAACTGTGGTAATAGAAAAGGATTACTTACTGAAATGTTTTAGTCAGTTGTGTGAGAATTCAGAGTTTTGGGGACTGGTTCCGTGATAATATGTGCATATCTCCTCTATGGCATAATTTCCTTGGTGGGATCTGGTGCAGCCCCATGATCAAATATATATAAGCAAAATCTATGAATCATCTGTTTAGGAGAGGTCAAGTTTTATTGTCAAATTGAGAAAAAAGTTTGGCCTTTTAGAGCTTTTTGGATTTCAGAGTTATGGACAAAAGATTATAGACATGTGTTCTAGAAAAAAATCTTACTGGCTAGTCACAATAAAAAATGTTCAGCCATTTAGAGATTTCATACTTATTTTTCTTCTCCTAAAGGAATTAAGAGGTTTGTGGCAGGAGCTCTGGGTCCGACTAATAAGACACTCTCCGTGTCCCCATCTGTGGAAAGACCGGATTATAGGAACATCAGTGAGTATTTATCACATACAATCATTGATTTGGGCAAGTAGCTCTGTCCTTCAGTAGGCTATAAATCTGCAAAATGGAACCAATAACAGGATCTACCATAGAGTTACTTTGACTTAATCCATGTAAAAGATATACCACAGTACCTGAAATATAGTAGACATCTAAATAAAAAGTTAGCTATGATGATGATTATTGTTTGAACTTGCTTTCAAATATGTATGGTGTTGTGTTAATGCTGCCTTGTCAGCTGTGGAAATGAAACCAACGAAAACAAAACTAAACTCAGAAGTTGAGCAAATTTGGGTATTAGGTTTTTGGTCTGTTATAAAATAGCTCACTATATCCTCATTCATCAGAAGACAGTCCAAACTATCTAGACATCTGTATTAGTCCATTTTCACACTACTGATAAAGACAAGACTGAGCAATTTACAGAAGAAAGAGAGGTTTAATGGACTTACAGTTCCATGTGGTTGGGGAAGCCTCACAATCATGGCAGATGGGAAGGAGGAGCAAGCCACATCTTACATGGATGGCAGCAGGCAAAGAGAGAGCTTGTGCAGGCAAACTCCCCCTTATATAACCATCAGATATCATGAGACCTATTCACTATTACAAGAACAGCACGGGAAAGACCTGCCCTCATGACTCAATTACCTCCCACCAGGTACCTCCCACAACATGTTGGAATTCGAGAAGAGATTTGGGTGGCGACACAGCCAAATCATATCAACATGCTAGCATTATGAATCTTATATGCTACCATATATAAACATACTTACATTGGGGTTTGACAAAAAAAGAAATCCAAGTGTCTAGGTCAATTTCTAAGCATCAGGACTATTAAAAACAAAAAGCATTAAAATAACAGAGCTGAATAGTCATGATACCATATCTGGCAGTGTAGTCTGTGCAGATGATGAGATCAAGCAAGTATAGTTTGTAGGGTTTTGGTTTATGGAACTTTATGTGTCATGATACCACGCTTTTTCACCAGGAGTTGCCCATACCAGGCTTATGTGTGGTTGACACTCTCTTTTGTCTAGACATGCCAGTGGGGAGCTAACTTCTCCTTGCTCTTGGGCTGTACAAGGTAGAGTACAGTAAGTCTTGACTTAATGTCATCGGCACGTTCTTGAAAACTGCACTTTTAAGCAAAATGATGCATAGCAGGCCCTCAAATAATGTCATTTCCTTCAACAGCATTTCATTATAATATTGATAAGAAAATACTGGTTTTGTTCTATATTGTCTTAATCAGAGTTGCAATTTCCGAGAACCTGTCAAAGATGTTACAGGAGGACCTACTGTATATTCAGACAGCAAGCATAACTTCACAGTATAGCCTTCTCTATTAGATATCTGAGCATTTTTTCTTTTTTGGTTGGGAGATAAAATAGGGAGAGAGATGATCGCCCATATGGAAATAGATAACCTAA